AAAGGCCTTCAACTTCAAAAACTGCCATTGCCTTGAACCGAGTTACAACTGATGCCTCCAACATACCATCATGATTCATCTTCTTAACTTTACCTTCAAAGGAATATTTACATTATCACTCATCACTGCATACATATATTATGTTCCTTTCTTCTTCTGCATGCTACTACCAGGAGAATAACATCTTCACTCTGGAATCACTTAATTTCTAAGTAAATAATTAATTTAGTCCTTCAAATTATATACTTAATTTCGATTTTGAAAATTCAACGTGAGAATTTTCCAGAAAGTGCTACTGCGGTCATGATTTGCAAAATCAGTTTTATATACTTAATTTTTACATAATAAAATTTAAAATAAATAGGTTTTTAATGTACAATTAAAATCCTAAAGCATCTTTGGATGTATTGAGTATGGTTTAGCTTTACGGTAAATAATTGAAAGTTTAATTCAAAAGTAGTATCACAAATGAGTAATTTTATTATGTATGAAATTTTAACGACGTGTTTATTTTTCATATTTGAAGTAAGCAATTCTAATTCACAGATAATAAGCTATTAGATTGTAATAAATATATTGAAGAATTCGTATTACTATTTATTCGTGTAGGATGTACAGGTGTTCACTATTGGGTTGTGTAGAATTTAATCAAATTCATTATTCAACACACATTTTAATTATATTTTTCATACATAATTCACTCTTGGATGAGTTGGATTTAGTTGGATTAAGATATTGAAAAAAATTTCTTATGTTTTTGTTAAAAATTGTATTTTTCAAGTATTTATCTAATTTAAAAAAATATAATTCTCAATAAATCAAATCATAATAAAATTTTCAATTTAAGACATTCAAAAGTATATTACAACCGGTCCATAAAATAAATATGGTCCATAAAATAAATTTACGAATGAGTGTCAAAGTTAAAAATAAGTCAGCTAAATTTTGTTCATTTTTTTTAATCAAAATTTTATAACCAGACGTATAACAGGTTAATGAATTTGTGGGTTGATCCACTTAAAAAATATTAATTTATTTTTCATATTTATCACATTAAAATTAAATACATTAACTCAACTCATTATTTTATAATATTTTTAATAGTAACAAAATCAAAATATTCATTTATTTTATCAAACATTTGTAACATCCCAAAAATACACTATAAAACCATATAGAGAATCATTACATATTAACAATACTACAAATCAGTTCAACATCCGTCTAACATACAAGTAAGGACGACCGTCTTTACATAACAACAAAGAATGTAAAAACTAACACTAGCTTGAGACCGAACAGTGTATCAAATAATACTAATACCGAACGGTCTTACAAAAGGTACAGCTAACACCAGACCGAACGCTCTCAAGGTTCGGCCTTCACTTCTGCTGCGTCTTTCAATACTTCTTCCAGTAGCTCTTCTCCTTTTGCTCACATCCACACGGATGATCATTGCAACATGACAACGACAAGACGCACAACAAAGACAAAAATGATAAACAGGGTAAGCTTATGTAATTTAATATTTATCCAATCACATCATACAATATTCATAACAAAACCAACAATGACCACATCATAATTCTTACATCAAGGCATGCAAATAACGACCACATGACTCTAACTGTCCGGACTGTATGAATCCTGTGTAGCTACGACGTTCGTGCACCCGGATGATGTAGTAATTGGGATACCCTCAACAACTGTCACCCGATGTTAGTCCGTTCCATCCAAATTAACCATAAGGACTAGGACCTCCTGTCATTCCCACACGTGACTTACTCCTCTCTACATGAGAACGAGTAATCATGGAACATCAGGATGAACGCCAACTAAGCTTTGCCCACATTCATACTTTACCAATCAATAACCACTTTCTGAGATATTCCTCCCTGGAATACTCTTTCATAATCAAACTATTTCATTCACATCACATTTCAAATTCTCTCTTACTTTATCATCCATATATTCAAAGGAAATAATACCATACGTTCTTATCATAGCCCAAGTACGACTGGTATAACAAGACCGAGCGTTACTCACCTATTTCAATAAACAGACTCCTAAGAGTTCAAACCGTACGCCACGAAGCCTAGGCCGAGTACTAAGACTCTAGGCCGAACACCTTTTAAAGACCAACACTAACTTATACTAAGTAATAATACTGATGAGAAACTATGAATTAACGAATGCTATCTAGTTTGAATAAATACTCTGATTTTAAGCACAGTAATACTATATTATAGAAAACAAGACCCAACGCTTGGTTTAAGACCGAGCCTTGTAGAAACCAAACACTATTGAACGAGCGTTGGTCCAAGACCAAATGCTTATCAGGAACGAGCGCTACTGAGACTGAACGCTTGATCCAAGACCGATCACTAATAAACTCACATAAAGTTGTTTAGAAAGTCTAAAGAAGGACTACACTTAAGTCGGACACTCATTATACATATCTATTATTATAACCCGAACTCCACTAATGAAATTCCTTGTAGAAGAAGAACTTAATGTAGACGGACGCTTAAAGAGTAACAAAATGGTTAATATGAACTCTAGGTCAAAGTTTAACTAATACTATATAGTATTACAGGAAGACTCTTATACTCTATCCTCAAAACATGAGAACTAAGGTAAGACCATGTACTCCCAAGAAAACCGAACGCTCGCTAATGACGCTCGACCATGCTAATCACCTTTGCTCAAAATACTACGGTTCAAATATTAAACTTTATCCCAACTCAGTTCACAGCTTATATCATATGTTCATCCACACATCCAAACCAGCAGTACAATCATATTTCATACTCCTCGAATAATCACACGTATCATGCAAGCATATAAACATTCCACACAACAAGCTAAATTAAATTATATAAGCTTCCCTTACCTCGACACGTAACCGAATGCTCAAACGAAGCAAAATAGAGCTTTCCTCTACCAAAGAACTAACGTTCGACGGCCACGTTTTTAAGAATACTGAACTATAGAGAAAACCAGAAACATTCAGAATACTACCACCCACTCGGGCGACCAGAACTAGAGAGTTGCATGCGAGTCTAACCGAATGTGCTAAAAGAAAAAGAACTCACCAGCTCAGAATCACAAACTGATCAGTTTAACTAGAAGCTTTTGACGCCGGGAGTGCTCCAGCGGTGCCTGAGAGGTGATCGGAAGAAGAAATGGTAAGGTTTTCTTAGAGAGAATGAGGAGATTTTAGAGAAAAGAAGGAGAAAATGATTTCAGCAAGGTGGGGAAGAAGAAAGACATGCAGAGAAATGACACGAACGGTCACTCCCATGCAGCCACCTGTTCTCCATTAACTTCACTCACTTCTTGGCACCTGAATCCCACTACTTGGGGTTTTGGGTGCGATTTAATGGGGTCTAACATTATTTATTATAAATATAATATTAAAAATTAAAGTGTAACTNCAAAGTTAAAAATAAGTCAGCTAAATTTTGTTCATTTTTTTTAATCAAAATTTTATAACCAGACGTATAACAGGTTAATGAATTTGTGGGTTGATCCACTTAAAAAATATTAATTTATTTTTCATATTTATCACATTAAAATTAAATACATTAACTCAACTCATTATTTTATAATATTTTTAATAGTAACAAAATCAAAATATTCATTTATTTTATCAAACATTTGTAACATCCCAAAAATACACTATAAAACCATATAGAGAATCATTACATATTAACAATACTACAAATCAGTTCAACATCCGTCTAACATACAAGTAAGGACGACCGTCTTTACATAACAACAAAGAATGTAAAAACTAACACTAGCTTGAGACCGAACAGTGTATCAAATAATACTAATACCGAACGGTCTTACAAAAGGTACAGCTAACACCAGACCGAACGCTCTCAAGGTTCGGCCTTCACTTCTGCTGCGTCTTTCAATACTTCTTCCAGTAGCTCTTCTCCTTTTGCTCACATCCACACGGATGATCATTGCAACATGACAACGACAAGATGCACAACAAAGACAAAAATGATAAACAGGGTAAGCTTATGTAATTTAATATTTATCCAATCACATCATACAATATTCATAACAAAACCAACAATGACCACATCATAATTCTTACATCAAGGCATGCAAATAACGACCACATGACTCTAACTGTCCGGACTGTATGAATCCTGTGTAGCTACGACGTTCGTGCACCCGGATGATGTAGTAATTGGGATACCCTCAACAACTGTCACCCGATGTTAGTCCGTTCCATCCAAATTAACCATAAGGACTAGGACCTCCTG